CCCTGTCCCCCCAGCAGACTTGTCACCCAGATGCTGCTCTCGAAGCTGCCAGGCTGGCCACGTGCACATACATGACATTTAATCAGTGACAATATTGGCCACACCAGCCAAAAAAAAGCCAACTGCTGATAATGTTGCTTTTCCTTTTATTGGTGCCGATATCATACGGACTGGTGCATCAGTGCACCTCTACCTGCTACAGCTGCCCTGCAGTTAATTCCATGCTAAATATTTAACTCCTGTAATAACTGTATTTTTAAATGGACATTTCAGAGCAGTTTAGGATTCTAAGCCAAAGCTTTCAGTACTTTAATCCACCTGCAAGACTGATATTACACTTCCATTAGAAACTGGAGAAGATTAAAATGAAAATGACTGACAACTTGTAGGGACTGATCAGCCATTACCCCACCTTTTCAACAGATCTGAGCAAGGATCAAAATGATGTTGAGGAAAGGCTTTGTAGAGAAAGAGATGCAGGAAAAGGGGATTGAGGACAGAACTTCAGAGCAAAAGAAATGCAGAATCTGTCCTACTACATTACACCCATGCTGGTTTTTCAAAAGCAAAGGGCAGAACATCTACAAGTTCACTGTATATTTCACCAATTTCTAAACCTACCTTAGGTCCAAACATGGAGAACTTGAACCTGTCTGTACCAACAGCAGCCTCTCTTCCTTCAATGCAGACCTAAACAAATAAGCAATTTTCTTACATGGCCATCTAAACATATAATCATGCAAGCTGGAAGTCTGGTAACAAGGCAGCAGCACCCAAGGTCATAAAGCAGTAGAGCCACTCTCAATATTTCCTCATGAAACAATTCTACTTGGTAAGGAATACATGCATATTTACTGGAAAAGGACTGTAGATGCTTCTGTCCCCTGATTATGGTACTTGCTGGAACCCAGTGTGTTCCAGTCCTTGCCTCCAGGAATATTCAAGTATTCCAGGCAAAATGGACAGTTGCTAGGATTTCCCTCTAAAAAGTTAAGCATTTCCTTGGACAACTAGGTTGCATCATTCAAGTCTAACAAGGACCTCTCAGACACAAGGTGAATGGCCATTTCTCTTGCTTCATTATTCCAAAAAAGCTTTTCATCTGACACGTTTCAGGACCGGAATACTATCATGGAAGGGGCACTAAACTATTAATAGGTTTTTTGGATTGCTGTATCATCCCCACAAAAGAACATTCAAAGACATGGAATTCAAGCTTTTTGCTCCTTCACTTCACTAGTTCTTTTTCCGAGCACTCAACTTTGATTTTCAACCTATTTTCTCATTAAAGTTCAGTATTTCACCTTTGCTTGATTTCAAGTTCTCATTTTCAGGCATTAACCAAAAGGGGCAGAGTACAAGCTATGTGTTTCTGGAGATTTTCTTGTCATGAACACTTAGAGACACGAACACTTTGAAACTTGTGAGTATATTCTACACATTCAGCACTAAAAAGTGACTGAATATTTATTTGCCCTCTTCCCCAGAGGTAAGAACAAATCCATTCTAAATCATGGGTAAGTGTTTTTAATGTTAGCAGTCATCTTGCCTTGACACAGTTTAAGAAAAAGGAAGAAGGAGTACTTACTGAATAACTGAATCCATTGCTGCTATTTTCTCAGCTACAATTAGAGATTCACTGTAGGTAACATCATTTAGGGCAGGGCCAGAGTTACAAGCCAATATGACCTGCAGCAGAGAGAGGAGTTTCACTGGTTGAATCAGCAAATAGACAGCTGAACAAAGTAGTAAACTGATTAACTGATATCCACAGTCAACATCAGAAAAGGGAGAGGTGGTGCAGACAGCATCTACATAAAATCAAATCTCTTTAAGGTTGAAATAGTTTTAGCGACCCCTGCCCTGACTGTCTTGCCAAATTATGGTTTTGCAATAACATGATCAGGTTTTTTGCACAAATTACCCAGAGGAGAAAAAGACTGCACACGCAAAAATACCTCCCCCTCCCCCCCTTTTAGAGCTCAGGTTTGGTATACTGAAGCAGTGGCGAGCCCTCCAGGCAGTTCTATTTGGGAGCACACTCACCTCTGTGCCACTAGAGAGCAGCTCTCTGACAAAAGGGAAGACTCCTAAAATGATGTCTATTCCACTGTTATCTGCGAAAATTAAGGCACATTTGTGAGGGGGGCCCTCCTGTAAGAGAAAACCAGTGCATTCAGGATTAAGGTGCCAGTTCTTAGGTGCTCAGTGACTAATTTGTGATAACTATCTGCAGAGGTTCCAGTTAAAAACCCTAGGTTCCTTGAATCATGACGCTCATGGCATCATCACCAGCAGGACTCCTGCTGGTTGGCTTCTGTTGATCGGGGGGTGATGCAACTACTCTGCCAGAAAAAAAGCTTGCTGCTATACCATATGCTGTATCCCTACTTGGGAATCTATCATCACAGTTATTCCTGTATACTGACGGGAGCAGCAGCTCTGTAATATTGGCAAGCCCTTAGTAGCAGTGCAGCTCTCTTGCTTGTGAAAAAAACTATACCGCCAATGCTGAAAATAGAAAACCTATCCAAATGTACAAGTACAGCAAGGTTTGCCTAATCCATTAGCATAGCATTTCAAGCAGACTTGAATGACCCTAGTTCCTTAGGGACAGCTCCTTCAGAGTCATGAGCAATTCATCCTAGGTCTGCCAACCAAACCAAGTGTGGCAGTTAGACATGTCAATGCCTGCTTAGGTCAGAGGCTGCACAGTCCTTCCACCCCTATTATTCTGGGCTGGACTAATACTAGGTACTTGGAGAAAAGGTGAGGGGGCAAGGATTTTATAGAGTGAGATCTTTTATTGGACCAACCGCATAGTTGGGACAGATTTAGACAAGTTTTTGGATGCAAGAAATTCTTCATGAGGTCATTAGAGGAAAGCTTGTTTCCTGTTTCTATGGCCCCTTTACATTAGTTCCAGTTTTAATGCTAAAAAACATAAAACCCAAGCTTATGGCACTGCGATTCCCACTGATGACAGTATGTTCATTGTGAACTCCTGAAATGATCCAGCTTTCTACCTCCTAATCAAAGCCACAATCAGGATTAAAATGTTAAAAAGCAAGGTCACAATAAAATACCTTCCAAATTAATAAACACCATATAAATGTGATAATTAATTAGACAGCTTTTTGAAGATAAAAGTATACACCATTAAGACACTGGTTACACTGATGCAGTTGAAAACAAATTAAGGTGATTTTTATAACTAATACATGCACCTAAGTACATGACTCACTAGTCACCTTGGACTAGTCATACCTTTAGTCGATCTAGCCACTCGTCGTAGGAATCTTCTAGCCATGGGCGCTCTGTAGAACAGATGTAAGACTAGTGAGTTAGTCGTTCTCTTATAGCCACCTTTTCCAACATAGTCCTAGCGAGTATGTATGCACACAACCTGTGTAATTGCGTAAGCAGCACGAAACATCAGGACAGGGTTCTATGCATGTGCTTAGATATCAAAGAATTTGAATGCAGCGTACTATTTTACTATGCAGTTAAATAGTAATTCTGTCTGCTCAACAGGCTATTGGCCTGCTAACCACAACGTTGGGGGCCATTACACCAGTTCTCAGCTAGACCTAAAAAAACCCATCAAACCAGGATAAGCCATGCAAGATCATCCCCAGAGGCACACTATTGCCCTTCCTGGGCTAATCATGATGCCAGCTTCCTGTTTAGAGTTGCTAAGCAGGGAAAATAGTGTAGGACTATCTAGCGTAGACTAGAGAATAAGCATTCAGGGAAGACATTTAAGTGTTTTTGCAGAGGGAGGAGGCAGGGGACAGATTCTTACCCACATATTGTACTAAGTAGAAGTGGGTGCCAATACCTTTGAAACAGATATGCCAGCATTTCAGTGAAATGCTATCTGTATTTGGGTGACTGCTAGACATTAACAATCTTAATGAGTTTACTGAGCAGCACAATTCTTCCCCCTAAACAACTTCTTTCCCTCCCTACTCTCCCCTTAAGTTGCCATAGGATGTTCCCTATACCTTGCAATTTTGACTTTGCTTCTTCAAATCCAAATTGTGTCTCAGACTCCAGAACACTGAAGCAGAAAAGAAAGATGAATGCACAGTGTTAGGCAAGGTTATCCTGTGCAGATGTACTGTCCAAATAGCTTTTCAACTGAATAAACATGCTATACGAGTCAGGGATTTTATACATTAATTCCAGCACGTGTGTACAGAGACCCACTGACTGAACAATAGCTTCTTTGTATTAGTTTTAAAACTGAAAAGCTCAAAAAGACATTATACAAAGAGTTCATGGACTAAAAGGAAAAAAAAACAAAAACCTGCAATGATACATCAACCCTGTATCCTAAGCTAAAAAAGAACCCCCCCAAAATCCAATTATGACTTGTTTTTTATTCTCCTGTAGATGTAGTCACACTTTGGGACGTTCAGGAAAAGTTCAGAAAATTTTCTGCTTTACAAATGCTGACATGCAAGGCCCAATTTAGTTTTTGGTACTGAACAATTATTTACTGAATTTTATAATGAAAGTAAAGCCTTTAAAAATAAATGGGTTTTAAATATATTGCGTTCTATTATAGCAGCTGGCCACGGACGGAAGAAACTCCAAACAACAACTGGTGGTTTGGCTGACATGACTGCTTCAAGAATATAAGACAACCTGGTTTAATTTTAAAAGATGTTGCAGAGCTCTGTCTTTATTTCAGCACCCCTGCAGGCCTCTGCCTGATCCTTCACAGATCCAGGAAACTGATTCCAAGATGGCTCCACTCAAGAAGCACTACTACCAGTCTCTTTTTACATAGCATTTCCTGGGATAGGTACATAGGAGTATGTAATGCAGGGGTGGGCAAAATACAGCCAGCAGGCCAGATCCAGCCCACCAAGGGATTTTATCCAGCCTGTGGCAGGTCCCTTGCCCGTCTTTCTCCCCCCAGGCCAGGTGCAAGGAGCAGGCCAAACCATGGTGCCTGTTGCCAGTCCCATCTCCAGGCAGGAACCAGGGCTGGGGCAGCACAGCAGCTAGCTGGACTCACTTCCCAGCTTATTCTGGCTGCTGCTGTCAGTCTCTGCCACTGGACCCAGCCTCCTTGCCCAGAAACCTGAGCCCATCCACCCTACACCCACAGTTAGGGGCGCCAGATGAAGTGGCCAGTCAAGTTATTCCATAGAGACCAACCCAAGATCCATATGAATTGGATGGATGGGATGGGGCAGAGAGTGGCGTCCAGGAGCAGGATGGGCAGGTGGGGCCAGAGCTGGGAGTGGGATCACTGGGTGGTGACAGTGTGGGGCTGGAGCTCGGGGCAGAGCCCTGATCCACTGCCTGCACATCCCTGAGATGGTTGCTGGTTCCAGAGGCAAGGGCGTGCAGGAAGTGGATTGTAGCTCTGCCCTGGGCCCCGGTCCTGCAATCCCAATCCCAATCCCAGCCCCACCTGCCCAACCCACTCCCAGATGCCACTCCCCATCCACCCAGCTAAACTCAGGGCAGAGCCACTTAGGGAATTTTGTTTTGGTGAGCTGTTGCAGACTTAGGGGTGCGGTGGAGAGGGGCTGCTGACCCGGCCTGTGACAGCTCACCAAAACGCCTTAAGTGGCCTTTCAGCCCCAAATAAATCGCCCACCCCTGATACAATGCACATCCAGAATGCCACCCAGCAAAATAATCTTGGTAGGTTACCTTATGGATGTCAAAGAAAACTATTGTACCTATGTAGTCAGGCCCCTTAAGCTAAGAGCAGGAAGACACTCAAAAGAGGTTTCAAATTGCAATGTCTCTTTATAAAAATGGCTTATTAAACAGGAGAGACTAAAGAATAGGTTTCTTTTCTAAAAATGTGGGGAGGAGAAGTAAAATATGTTAGGCAGGTTTGAACTTCAGCAATTACATTTCAGCCAAACATTATTTTAACTGATTAGGGTTGAATCTCTTCAGGGACAGAAAAAGGCAAAGGAGTTATTGTTAACTATAACTGAATGTCTCAAAAAACATGTGTGCCCCATTGTTCACAAAGTTTTTCTGGGTTTAGATGGTGGTCTCTTCAGTATCAGCCCCACAAGAGCAAAACCTTGGGACTCTGGTGCTGGGGAAGCAGAAATACTTCAAGAAAAGTCCTGCATACAACAGTAAAAGTTTAGACTGAGATTCTCATAGTCTCCAAACAAGTTCACTCCTCTCTAAATTATCCCACTGAATGGATATGTAGCACATAATACCAAGACAGCTGTGGGTAGCACAGAACAGCAGCAAGAACATAATATAGGATACTAAGTTAAGTGGAACACATACCCAGAGCAGCACTAATGATGTCTGCTACAAGCAAAATGTCCAGTGTCAGCTGTGACTCTCTCCATTACTTCAGACATTCACAGTGACGTCTGTCAGTTTTAAGGGATTGGACAGTGAAATTTGCTGCATTGATCAGGGGACTCGCATGATCAGGGGACTGCAGGGCAGGCCCTATGAGGAGAGACTACAGGACCTGAACCTGTTCAGCCTCCACAAGAGAAGGCTGAGGTGGGATCTTGTGGCCTGTTACAAACTGGTCAGGGGGCAATCAGAAGGCATTGGGGGAGTCACTGTTCCCCCAAGCACAGCCAGGAGTGACCAGGAACAACGGTCACAAGCTAGCAGAGGGTAGATTTAGGTTAGACATCAGAAGGCGCTATTTCACGGTCAGGGCAGCTAGGGTCTGGAACCAACTTCCAAGGGAGGTGGTGCAGGCTCCTACCCTGGGGGGTTTTAAGAAGAGGTTAGATGAACACCTTGCTGGGGTCGTTTGACCCCAGTACTCTTTCCTGCCATGGCAGGGGGTCGGACTAGATGATCTGCTCAGGTCCCTTCCAACCCTAGAAACTAAGAAACTATAAATCTTGGGAATAAACAACCAGCATATGATTCATATGGTATGAATAAGGTGAAATACAAAGTATTTGATTAAAAATGGACTGGTGTAGTAAATTTGTTAAAAGGAAAAATAAGATATTAAGCGTCTTAAAATGGTTCTTTTAAAATGTTCAACACCTACTCGGAGACTGCTTTGGCTCCCCAGTCAAAGACATTCCCTGCAAGAAGTCCTTTCACCAGAGCAAGCTGCCTCTCCTTCCAGTCTAACGAATCCAAAGATTCTATTACGCCTTGAAAACATTTTAATGCTATGCCATTTTCTTTCTGCTTTATCTGAAAAAAAAGAAGAAGAAGATGCAAGATGCTGGATTTACAGACGAAAAGTTCTTACCCAGCACTGATTGTCTCAGTCCCACCTCCAAGCATTCTCCTCTAGGTTTGTGGCCTCTAATGAACCAACGAGTTACTGTTCTGAGCCTGCTTAGTGTGAACAAGAAAACGTCTCCTTGGATTCTAATACAAAACTTAATTCATGCCAGGGGAAAAGCAAAAACTTTCAGTAGCTCAGTAACTGTTACTTCTCTGGACAATGACAGGCACGTGGATTTTAGTTAGCAGGAAAAGATAACGTTAAATAATCCAGCAAGAACACCACTAACAAACCACCTGGGAATACTGCATTTACCCCAATATAAGACGACCCTGTAGTATTTAAGACGACCTCCCCTCCCAATAATTAGATTCTATACAATGAAAATTTAAAAATTTGTTATACTGTAAAATGATTGCAGGGTCATCTTAAATTAGTTCCCCTCAACCATTGTAGTGGGAAAAGCAGTAGCAAGGGGACAAGCAGCAGGGGAGACAGTTGGAGGGTAGGCAGTAGAGAGTAGGAGATGGGGAGATGGATGGCAGAGGAAGTGGTGGCGGGGAGCAGTGGTGGGGGAGAAAGGCTGTGGACAAGAGAGGCAGTGCAGCTTGACGCCTGCCCCTTACCCCCTGACAACGCATCCCTGCCCACAACTGCTTGTCCCCCCTGTGCCTGCCCCATCCCATCCCCCTGCCACTTACCTTTGCTCTGGCTCCAGCAGGCTCTCTCCTCACTGCAGCCCAGAGCATGTAGCATGTGTTTGCTCTGGCACTAGCTTAGCCCTGTAGCAACAGCAGCAGCTCGGACTAGGCCTGAGCAAGCACAAGCGGGGGTGGGGAGGACGAAAGTGGGGATGCAGAAGCTGCAGGGAGGGGCAGAGAGTAAAGGCTTGTGGGGAAGAGGGAAAACAGGCAGCAGTTGTGGCTCTGGCCCCAAACCCAGATCAGGGCCACAATGGCAGCTGAAGCATGCCATCCCCTGCCACCCAACCCCACCTTGTACTCAGACTCCAAGATGAGGGTCTTGGAACGCACATTTAGTAAAGATTTAGTTTTGAACTGGAGTATGTTAGCCACAATTCATTTACAGGTGCATATGCTCCTATGGCTGCAAAACAATCTTTAACTAACATGTTTATCCATCCCATAAAGCAAGAAAGGCCTACCTTTGAATAGGGATCTGGAAAATTGAATTCATTTAGACAGTGTTCCCTTGTATCCAACAAACTCCTAACTGTTAAGGTGCCATATGCACTGAAAGAAGGAGAGAGAGAACAAGTCAACTACCTCACAGAACAGAAAATAATTTTCCTGCCCTTCCCCTTGATCTTCAGGATTTGATTCCTGCAAGTGAACCCACAGATGCCATGTTACTAAACTCTTTATATACCAGACCAGTGGCCATTGGATCTGGGCTCCCACAGCAGGGAAACTGCAACACAAAGGGGCCAGGTTCTTATTTCTAAGTGGAAAGGTTGGTGAAATCTTGAATAATACCTGAACAAATAATATTGTGCTTACCACTTTTTACATGAGATGCACTATTTTGACTCTTTCACTTTTACCATGTTGTAAAAATCAATTTTCTCAGTTTAATTCTAGCAGCCCTAAGTAGTTACACTAAATCAGTTAGCTAGGATCTCACAGAGCACAAGAGATGGTAAGCTAAAATTCATTATAACATGAAGTTTATCCATGGCGATACATGCTCACTGTGCATATAAGGAGAGTGTGTGCAAGTACAGGAGTCACAGCAGCATGGTGACAATCAGCTGAGGTTGGAATCTAGAGGGGTCCTTACTTTAAGGAGGTGATATGTGAAAAGTCAGACCACCCATCTGCAATACAGCAAGAAATGGGGGCCAACACTGAACTAAAAAAGTAATTAGCATCTGCATTACTTGCATTATTCAAAACTCCCGAGCATCAGCTGCTCAACGTTTGGACTACGATGTTCAGAAATATGTGCCTCTGGTTAGGTTAACCAACAGACCAACAAGAGAATGTTCTTTTTGGTCTTGGAGACCATCCTCATTTGACTTGGATTTCCTATTGTGCAGAATATGGTGCTTCCTGGTCATAAGTGTGAACAGTTAGAGAAAGCTATTTGGTGTCTGCTAATAGTGTCTCATATTATCTTTAATGTTACATTTCGGATGCACACTTTTGTAAATGTGGTGTGCATATTACAAAGTAGCAGACTAACTGCTCCAAAACCTGCACATTAAAGCACATTTAATAAATCACATCCAAGTTAACTGTACTACCTGGAGACTACCTGGTGGGGGACACTTACAAAGGCTGCTGTCTCAGAGTCTGGAGCTTATTCCAGTACTTCTGTTGAAACTTCTCTGCTCGCTCGACTGCATCAATGGAGTCTGGCTGACTGGCTGCAGCACGTTTTGCTACCTGGCAGTGGAAACATGGAGATTGGACCGAAGTTGGCAACGCCTTCTACCTTCATTTTCAGGGTAATTCAAGAAAGACTAAGTGACTGAAAGCTCAGGCTGGGAAATACTTGATCTCTCTGCTGTAGTGCTCAGTCACTGCCGCATCATGTCACAAAATAATTGCTCCCCCCGCCCCTCCAAGAATCTAATTTTAGTTAGAAGGAAACATGACCACAGGTTAAATAAAAAGTTAAAAAACTACCACTTAACTTATTGAGAGAAATGTATTCTAGATAATTGCAAAAGCTTAAAAAGGTTCAAATAAAATATTTTAGTTTGCTGCAGTGTATTCAGATCATCTGCTGTCTGGTTAACACAATGTTTAGTTAATTATTTTTATAGTAATTACATTTCTGATACAGATTAAGTTGATCATTGTGGATACACTACTTCACATGTGCTAGCACTCAATGACCAAGTGAAACAAGATCAATTAAGAGAACTTTTGTGATTTTGCTTCCTACCAAGGCAATTCATTCTTGTCTAATTCACATCTGTTTAGACACATAACCGGATTGGGACTCTTACCCCATCCAAAGCTTCCTCAAAGCAAGTGAGCCAGTATTTTCTGGCCATGGCATCATCTGTGAGGTCAACTGTGTCAGGGATGTATGTGGACGAGTCCTTTAACAATGGCAGGTTAACAAGTGGTCGCTCCAACCGATCCATTTCGAACATATCGAACTAAGAGGTGATGGAATAAGAGAGAGAGAGAGAGAGAGAGAGAGAGAGAGAGAGATCAGATTTCTGAATTAAACCAATGCAAATAGGGCAATCTAGATGAACTGACCTATAACAGGAATTGCCCACGAAAGTAACACTCCACAGTACTGATAAAGAACAAAAGGCCACAACTGTCAAGGCAAAGCATTAGCACCTTGAGGGGTTAGCAAAATCAAAACCGTTCTAGTAATACATCACTAAACTTGTTCTCTGCCTCTCCAAATCTCCTGATACTTGCTTCCAGTATCAAGGGCAGGAATAACAGGAGGGAATTTTCCCAAGAAGAATTCCAAGTGCCCAAACTTTGTTTAGAAAAAACTTCCATTTCATTTTAGCTCTTCTGGTTATATGCTGCCCTTCCCTAGAAATGCCAGGCTTATGTCAAGCCATGTTCAAGGGTAAATTTTCAAGAACAGGCACCACCAGTAGGCACAACATTCCAAGTTGAA